CTTACATCCTATCAGCATGAAAGTGTCTCTTGGTCTTAGCCTTCTCCTGTCTATCCTCGATCCAGGTAAGTTTTCTGCCAGAATCTGCTGGGCTGAGAACTGTCCTGGGAACTGTTGTTCAGTGGGTGGGGGGCGTTCCTGCCATCTGATCAGTAGGCAGCCCCCTAGTCCTGGGGGATTTGCCATACATGGCAGTGAATGGTGGAGCAGGGTGGAGCAGGGAATCTTTGATGCTATGACCCAGCTTGTAGATGAAGATGTAGGTGTCTGCACTGGAACTGGATTTCGGAGCTCCGACAGTGGTCTCTAGCAGTCTAGTCAGGGCAGTCATAAGAGTCTGGAGAGGGATTCAGATCATGCTAAGACAGATGGATCTTTGTCTGGCTGAATCAATCTCTAGTCACCACTAATATAAATGTAGGGGCTCAAAGAATTTGCTCATGCTGGTGGTCTTGTGACGTTGTAGATAAGAGTGTGTGTCAGAGAAGACAAGCTATTTGGCTTCTCTCCAGAAACTCTTTATTTGTCTCCAAGTGTTTCATGATCGTTGTCTGATATTCTGGTTCTGTTTAAGATGTTCTGTTCTTGAAAAAGTAAGACAGTCAACAAAATGAATTCCTCTAATGCCTAAGAAGAGCTACATGGTTCTCAGTTTGTTCATAGCATACCCAAGACCTACTGACAGCTCTCCAGTGCTTTGGCTGCCCTGCTCACTGCAAAGACAGAAAGATTTGGGAGCTGGGAATCCAGGAGAGGCTTGAATGCCTTCCAGAGCAGAGATGGTTTGGATTCTCTAACATTCCCAGGAAAACTAACCAAGCCATATGCTGTAAGAGATGAGTCCAGCTGACTTTAAAATGAAAAACACTATATTGACAAGGCTTCCCCTCACTTCTACAAATTCAAGTTGAAATTAGGGTAAATAATAATCATTATAATTAATTCCCCTTTGTTTTCCCTCCCCTCCTCAGACTGAGCAATGAAACAGGAAAAATAAAGGAAGAAGAACTTGAAAAATGTTGTTCAAATTGTTCAAATGCTGTAACAAAATGTGAATAAAAGGGAAGTGAAATCTCCTATGATTGTTATCAAAGAATGTGTCCTACTTCCTTCCTTAGGGACTACTCTTCGGTGTGAGGTTTGTCACAGCTTAGGAAAAACCTGCTCTGGCCCCCTGAAAGTCTGCAATGTTGATGAAGATATCTGTGGCATCATTGTGCATGAGGCCACAATAGGTAGGTGAGAAGATTCCTGTGGCTGTTTACCAGTGCAGCTTTCAGAAAAGGATTGAGGGGTGGATCTCTCCCTACCTCTGCCTTATAGTAACTCCTCAGATGAGTTATTCTTTTTTTTTTTTTTTAATTCAAAGAGGATGCATGTCTGTTATGGGAATGGGAAAAGCACACTATTTCTGCGTCTTGAGGAACATCAACCTACATGGAGAACTAAGTTCTGAGTTGTGGAGGGGAGAGATCTAAACAGTAGTCTGGAAGTTGAGGCTGGCTTTTAATTCTAGCCAAGCTGAGTAGCTGCTGGGTCAACGGATGGGGCTGCCAGGGACTCAAGTTTCTGACATCTAGCACTATGGGTAGCTTTGCCATGAGGATGGAGGGAAAAAATATCCTGCATCTGAGTCCCTTCTCTGGGCAGGGATGGAGACCCCAAGTTGGCCCTACTGGCACTGGACATATCCCCCCTTTCTGCTGCATTAGTGGCTTGGCCTTAGTCACTACCCAGCATCACTATTGCGACCTTTTTTTTTTCAGACTGGAAGTTGACTCCTCTCCTGCTAGGCTTGGTGCCAGTGTTTCTTCTCTCTACTTGCGCAAAGCAACCTTTTATCTTTTCAGGGCTGTTGAGGTCTCAAGAGAGTGCATTTCTGTAATCATTCTGCCCCTCCTTTTAAGCCTTTTGAGTCTGGCTCATGGGAGAGACTAAGTCTGTCTGCAGGGAAATTTTAGAGCTTGCAGCTAATGGATCTGGGTGCTTTGTGGACAGCACATAAATACATCTGCATTATGGGTCAGCTGTGCATGGGTTGCCCCATAAGCTCTAAGGTTGGGGCATAAGAGCTAGGATGAATATCTGCAACACAGTTGCAGTCCTGGCCTAGTTGACCAGGAACACTTGTACCCTTCTCTCTTTAAACATGTTGTGGAAAAAGAGAAAATCCTCATAAATGTCCCAGATGTGTCTCTCTGGATCAGAACCACCTTAGTTCCTCTGAACTGATTTAACTTCACCGGGTTCTTCAGTGCTGCCTTCAGAATGGCTCTGCTATCCCCAAACCCCTGTCGCGATGTGGGGAAGACCATGTAGCAGGCAGCGAAGAGACAGAGACGTTCCTGCTAAGGGAAACAGAGGGAATTACCTTGTGGTTAATGACTTGGCACTGCCCTCTCCTTTGTAAAAGGTGGGATGGTAATGACTTCATCCTTCAAGACCTGCCTGCTGCCCACTGTGTGCCATCTGGGTGCTGTCACCATGAACTATGGGAAAGTCAAAGGAAGAACTGGCTTGGCCTGCTGCGTGGGTGAAGCCTGTCGAACAACATCACCCTCATGTAAGTTATTTGTTTCTTCCCTGTCACCTTATTGTGTCTGCCTGCTTATCCCGAGACTCTGTTTTTCCTGCTGCTGGCAGAACAGACCTTTGCACAGGGGTTTAAAGAAGTCATGAGTGATGAGTCCCTTCATTTTCTCTCCTTTCCTTATTAAAATCAATTTCTTTCCTCCCAGTGCCACCAGTGAACAATGTGCCCAATGGATTACACTGTCCTGCCTGCTACAGCATAGACTCCTTCCACTGTGGCAATGAAACTGTAAATTGCACTGGATCTGAAACACAATGCATTGAGATTGCTGGATTGATGAATTCTGGTAAATATATTTTGATTTGAGCTGTCATCTTTTTGGTTAAATCAATGAAACCAGGAGGAAGCCTTACAGGAAAATAAAAATGGGCAAAATATGTGAAGGAGAAACAGAGCAAGGGATACAAATCAGAAAGGGAACATGCTTAAAGCTGATAAACAAAGCACAGGTGTTTTTCTCTTCCCCATGTCCCTGTTGTGCACCGATAACTGCTGAAATTCCTCACAGCATGGTATGACGGAGGACAGGAGAAAATCTGGACTCAGAAGCAATCTGATATGGTAATAAATCTGACCAACACCCTCAATGCCCTAGCTAAGGTGAATGAGGATGTGCCTAGATCTGAGTCAGCTGCTCACTTCGAGGAGGTTCAGGTGAAACTTCCCTGGAGGATGGGGGATGCCTTCTAATACAGAGCCATCAGCTTTTTCATGGGGTGGCACAGGCTCCTGTGGGCACATGGTACTGGTTTTTTTAGTGGTGATCCTGCTCCAGGAGAGTCAGAGACAAGTCTCTCCTCATGAATGTGGTGGATGAACTTTGAGGTTTGGAGAACCTGAAGACCTTCCTGGTCCTGCCCCCCTGGTGAGGGAGGCATGTGATTTTTGAACAGCAATGATCACCAGCAACATGAAACACTCTCCTTCAGAAATCTTATTCCTTACTGTAGATACTGTGGTTGGAGAGAGGAAATTAGACAACAAGCTCCTTGGCTACTTGAAAAAGCTCTCTCCCCTGGGTAATAAAGTTCTACATCTTAGGATGGTCCCAGCCGTGCGTCATCAGGCAGAAGAAAAGAAATTTTAAGTCAAGGATAGTAGTATACACTGTAAAAGTAGACTGAAAAAAGTCTTTGTGTATGGTCATAGGCATAGTTTCTCTGGGGTCATATTATTGTCAGGTGAAAATATTATGCCTCAAGATCTTTGTTATACATTTTATATACCTTTTGTCCGAACCCTGAATTAGGAAGCATTTTGCAGAGCCAACACAAGACAAAACAACTCTTTGCTTAGTCTCTGTGATGGAAAATGTGTGATGCAAATTGCATGCTACAGAAGTAGAAAAGGTTCTTAATTTGTCTTGACTTGATTCATCAGCCATTGTAAATGAAGGAAATCTGTGTAGTGTGATGAACTAAGCAGAGGAATCCGTTGTATAGGAGGAGCGATGAAAGTTGAGGAACTAGTGAAACATTCAAATACACTTTTTGTACTCAAGATGCAGATACCCAGCAGAATATGACTGACCTCTGTAGTCTGCATATAGGGGAAAACATGAGCTGTAAGAAGAAACCAGTAATGAGCGAGAATATTGAGAATACCTGAACAGGAAGTTAGGAAGCCCGGATCAAAAGGAAGAATCACACACAGCTTGACTTGCGGTTATCCCTAGTTGTTGGCAGTTAGGTGATTCAATAAAACTGGTTGGAATCATTGACCTGTTACAAAGTTCTTCATAGCTGTTTGGTTTGGTGAGGCAGGCCTAAGTAGGTTATCACTTTGATGTCCAAACTGTGAGTATCTTTGTGTGGCTGCAGCATTTTTAAGGTCTCTTTCTCAGGTAGATTCTCTGGTGTCTGCTAAGTGGCAAGTTCACGGTTCAGCCCCTCCCTCAGTGCATGAATGAGCATTCTCTGTCGGGTGGCTAGATACTGTGAGGTCTTAGAGATTGGATTTGCAGGAGTAAACTTGTCCATCTTTACCATAAATAGCTGCACATAACCAGGTGAACCCTGCCCTTTAATGTCTTTGAGGCTTCTCAACCTTTATGCCAAGTTTGACTGAAAGATGGTCATTTGGTTCAAGAGTGATGAGAAGGCCAGAGAGGGCAAGAGACAAATAAATCTATGCAGTACCATCACACAACCATTATTTCTTTAGGAAGATCTCTTCCTGAGAGAAAGAAAACAACTTAAAAGCTTTTCATCACCTTTATTCAGCAGAAAGCAGGCAAAAGCAAACAGTTGTTCCTTTGTATTTCAGGTCAACCAAGGTGACCTTCCTGCTTCTTCAAACTTTTTGGGGGAGGGGATTGTAGAACAATGGATTGGTGAATTTTGTAGTCAACAGATGTAAAAAATAGAGAGAGCTCAGGGAGAAGACGTGAGCCTCAGTGACCAAGGAGAGAACAGCTATGAAGGCTGGTTTCCCTGTCACATGGCATGTACTTCTTCTTCTGTGCAGGTGGACTATCTATGAAAGTTGCCATGAAGGGCTGCACCACCATTTCCGAATGCAATGAAGAAGGAGAAGGAAAAAAACAACTGGGAATGATAGACATGAAAATAAAGCAGTTCAAATGCAAACCAGCCTCTCTTTTGAACACAGTAGTTTCCGGGATCCCTCCTCCAAAATCCCTCTTTCTTCCCATCCTGTCACTACTAATCTTGGAGAAGATACTTTTCTGATGCTCTCTAGGACTAGGATAATAAAAATCATTGTAAAAATCTAGCAGTGGTTTGCACAGATTCCTGTTTGCTCTGGCTTCTTCTGCATGGGAGTTTTCAGATGAGCTCTTTTTCTCCTGTTATTTTGCAGAATAAAGAGAGTACTTACACACCCTTTGTTTTCTGATTGAGTTAATGTGATTCAAAGTTCCATAGATTTAATTTTCACATTCTCTGAGTGTGTTGTCCACATCAAGATCTGGGGAGACTGTAGAACTACTACGTAGCTACATACTATTACACAGCTACTGCATAACTACTGATAGGACAAGAAGAAATGGCCTCAATTTGCACCAGGGGAAATTCAAGTTAGATATTGGGAAAAATTTCTACACCAAAAGAGTAGTCAAGCACTGGAACAGGCTGCCTGGGGAAGCAGTGAACTCACAGTCCCTGTCAGTGCTCAAGAAACATGTAGATGAGGTACTTAGGGACATGGTTTAATGGGCATGGTGCTGATGGGTTTATGGTGAAGGTCTTTTCCAGCCATATTGATTCTATGACTCTGTGATTCTATGCACATAGTATCTCTATACTGCCTAGACAACAGAAACTCTCATGACAGCCTTACAGTCTACATCCCTTGTCTAAATGAATGCCCCCTGTATTTGGCTTGTCACTTTGCCAGGCTTTGGAAAGGACCTGAGGTTAATTCCTGAGAAGTCCACTCCGGTTAGAATAAACCTCTTTTTTTTTTTTTTTTTCCTTCCTTTAATCTTAGGTGCCCATGGTAGGTCAGAGGGCTGCTTGTGTCCTTCAGGTAGTCCTGAAGTAGTCTGTATTTCAGAGCAAGCAGTGACCCTTTGCTACAAACAAACTATGCCTGACAAGACCCTTTGACATCATGATTATTTCTTGTGCCTTACCAGCTATTCCACTCCTGTTTTATTCCAGATTTCAGGATTATTCAAAGTAAGCATTTGTCTTAGGATTGATTTCATTAGGATTGGCTTGATTTCATAAAATAAAAAATTTTCTATGGTGACAGACTTATAGTGCCCCAAGCAATGGCAATTTACAGCTCTATGCCTAGTTTGGTCCTATTGGCCAAATTACATACTTAACTGTCCAAGTCTCCCTTCTCCAACATGGATCTGCCACCAGCAACTTCTCCAGATACTGCCTGCCCTGCTGGCTCTCCTCAAATGGGTCCCACACAAACACACTTAAGAAAGCAGCATGTCAAGTGGCATTACAGTACCCAGGAGGTAGTATGGGCTGGGGCAAAGAGGATAAGAAAGTGTACACTAGTGTGTCCAGTGTAGGAGAGATGCTTGTAGGCTTCAGCTTTTGGACAAGGCTATATCCATCCATCCCCAGGTGAGTGCAACTCACTAGAAAAGGGTAGCCCATTTTTGGAGGAGAACACAAGATTACTAAGCAAAGTGAATGTTTCTGCTTTTCCATAATAGTTCTAGTTTGCAGGGCAAACGTATTTTGTCTACAGAGTTACAGTGATCATGCAATGCAATTCTATCTTTCAATTCAATCCTGCGGCAGAGAGTGCTATGGAAATTTTTGACTGCCTAGACCAAATCATAATATGTGGCAACAGTGAGGTGATTACATCGTCTTCCCAAACAAACTGAAGCTCCTTTCATTCTGCTATTTCCATCAATTAGTTGGGAGAGAATTTCACATTATCTATGATAATACAGGGATGTGGGTGTGAAAATGAAAATTAATTTTTGGCGTGCGGTGTGTGCTGATAATACAGAATTCATGCAGGGAAAAGAGTCCGGTTACACACAGTTAATTATTTCCAGAGGGAGTGCAGTTACAGCGTGGAAGTTAGGAAAGGGAGTACACTCCCCTCAATGACCCACTTGTTCAGCACTTTTCCCAATCTGATAACACCCTGGAATTAAAACAATTCTCTATCTGTGCGAGTACCTTAGCCCTGAACACATCTCTTGCACATCCATGCGGAACACTACCTTGCTGTCTGTGGCATCCCCCATGGCAGATCTCGATCCGGTCCAATGGTTTAACCCTTCACTCCTTTGCTTGTTCCACCTTGATCTGTGATGCTATCAGGATGGAAAAGCTACATGCTTATTTTTTCAGCCTGCTCAAGGATAGGATGAGAAATCTCCAGAAAATCAAGATGCTGGGGGAGTATACAGGGGAAAATAAAGAGGAACAAGGCCAATAACAGTGTTTCTGGCAAGGGTTTGTGGCACAGAGAAGAGAAGAAACTCAGTTTTGACTTCTAATTCATTCTTGTGGCAAAGATAGCCATTGCAATTTGTGGCTATATAAATGGAATAGTGACAAATGGGAGTAACTCTGCATTTTTGTGATTATTATGTCAATTCTTGGTCCTTTTCCAGCATCCACATTTTCAAAGGCCATTAAAATGGAGAGTGTGAAGAAAAATGCCTTACAGCAAAAGTCTTCAGGGTTGTAAACTGGTGATCTGATGAAGAAGAGGATAGACAGGTGAATGCTTACAGATTATGAACAAACTGATAGGGAAAAAGGATAAGATGTCAAAGAGCTCTTCTATACACCAGAGAACATCAGAAACATGGCAAACTCAAAGGAGGAAAATGTAACATAATTACTGCATGCAGTAAATCTCTACGGATGCCAGGAAGTTACAAGCTTTTGATGTCTGCAAATCCAGCATGAAGGCCTTTCAGAAACAGATGTTTTCATTGCAGACAGGTTATAGCCAGTATTACAGGCAGTACAGGCACAGTTGCTAGGAATGAGATAAACTGGAGTGTGAAGGAAGATGATGAGCTGATGACCCCTTCTGATCTCAAGTCTGGGTCCTGAGGGAGCGAAATGAAGCTGGAGTGTGTTCTGATAAAAGCAAAACAAAAGATGGAAGAAAACTGGCAGTACTAATTTGCAAGCACAAATCAAACAATGGGATCTTGGGATTTTGAGCAAGGAGTTATGAATGAGCAACAGTTGCTTCTAAGGATGTGCAGGGTGTGAACACCAAAGAATGGGGCATCTTCAACAATTCTCTTCAAAATAGTCACCGGGGTGAATATGGGAAGCTCCATTGTTTGTAGAGTTTAATTGAGGATATGCAGCAGGGAGCAGCCCTGATCTCATAGGCATATTGGGGAGGCGCAAGGAAAGATGTGGCCAAAACCCGCTGTAGTAAATAGAATGGCTCCTGCTGATTTTAATGTGCTTTGAACCAGGCCAGAGACACCAAACTGGATTTTCTCCATCTGCAGCTTCTCTTCATAATGTATACAAACCCTGCTCCCACACAGATGCACACATAGAGACATGTAAATGCCAAATCCTCCCTCAGATCTTGCAGACACTTCAACAAACAGGCATGCAAGATACAGGCAGGCACCAGACACACACAGCTCTGGATGGCTGGAAGACGCCTGCCTTGTCCTCAATACAGACCATGTCAAGGACAGCTTTGATCTCCACTTTCACATAGCAGAGAAGATGCTGAACATTGTGTTCTCTCCCCAGACGATGGAAAATTAGCAATGTCCTGCCATTCCCTCTCCTTCCTCTGAAGTTTCAGCTTTCTCACCAGAAAGCCTGGTGACAGCCAAAAAAACTGCCAGTGACTTGAGATAGAGATATGGATGTGCCCAAAGGGGTTTTAATAAAGCCAGGTTGAGAGAGGATCTGAGTTGTATGTAGGGTGGACAGGGAAGATGTGGGGCAGGAATCAGAGAAGATGGGGAAAGGGAGCTGCACATTGTGCAGGTGTGCACCATGCAAGGCAATTATCAGATGCCAAAACACTCTTAGTTCCTCCTTTTCAGCATACCTGGAGATGGCAACTGACTTCCACTTCCTAGGAAATCTTCCTGACTTTCCAATTAGGAAGTCAAGACACTGGGAGCCAATGGATTTCTCTTCTTTCTGTCTAAAGCATGTTCTGGGCTTTTATTTGCAAATGAATGTGAAGTTATTGCTGTATTTCTTTTACATCATGACCATGACTCTCATGAAAAAGTTTGTCAAGGACTTATACCAACAGGTCCTGTAAGTATTTTGGGAATTACACCTCCTCAAAGACAAAATAAGAACAAATTTTGAATGAATAATAGATCCTTATAGTCATCAAGAGTATGTGTCATGTTGCATACCAGACACTAAAGAATTTGTCCTGATTCTTGTAAGAAAGAACTGCAGGCCTGTGGCCATCTGACCAAATGTGGACTTATGCAATGGGTTGGTGTCTTCATCTGAGCATGTCACCAAACTCCAGTGGAGATTAAATCAGTATAGCCCACTGAGATGAGGTCCTGCCTCTGGTCAGATAAATCACACCACAAGTCCCCATTTGTATCGGGTGGCCAACCACTGCCCATGCCACTGACAGAAGCACCTCTATTGTAAACACATATTTTAGACACTTCTAAAGCAGCCCAGTGTCCTGTCTTCTCCATGGAGATGTTTTATCATAAAGTAGTGGAACAGAGAGAACAAATGCTCCATAGTCCATGCCCCTGTGCATGGCCTCATCAACTAACTCCATAGGCAACTATGCTGGATTGCACACCTGGTATTACCAAATTCTCACATGTTTACACCTCTTTCTTCAACCAGGACACTAACTCTGGAATGTATACTGTCAAGAATGGTCCCCTTCCCCATTGATGCCGTATGGAAGAAGTCTCTCTCCCTCTGTATGCATATCCTAATAGTGATAGAGCATTTTGTTCAAACTCATGAGAGTTCTCATGTGGATAAAGGAATGAAAATAAATTTGCCTCTGGATCTATCCTGGAGTAACTTAGCAAAACATCTATCCTAAGCAACCCCTAAGACCTCTCTTTTAATGTGAAAAGAACTGCTGTTCGAGTCAGTTCCAGAACTAAGTACTTGTTTGTTGTCACTGGGAACACAGTCTTTCTAATCTGGGGTACTGCTGATCACAGGAAGGAAAAGTTTCCTTCAACAGTTTTCCACCTTCCCTGGTCACAGCTCATCTGATTTTGCCTCCAGGGAACAAAGTTTTG